GCAAGCGAAGGCCAACCTCCACTCCACTTCACTATCTTAAAAGTCTCCCAAACTTTACTCCTAGCCTCCTTTTGTATAAGTTTACGTTTTATTTCTCATCTTCGAAAATTGAATTTATGGTAAGTTATCCAACAATTGCAAAAAACAAGGGAGAACGCTATAGTCGAGTGCTTTGACTATCAGAATTGTGAACATACTTAACTAAAAATCCAACTGAATTCAAACAAAAAACATAAGCAATAGATACTTAAGTCTTATATATTTTCTGCCACCAAATACAAATTATGTGATCATAATTTTTTTGATTTCTTTTTCGATCAAAATTATTTATATAACTTTTATTTTCAGTCCCCGTCAACTAAGGTCTCACATTAAGGCCCGGTATGCCAAAATCCCTTAGCAGGAACTTAATCTGTCCGAGAAATGTTAGCCGGCCCTCGAGAAACCGGTCCTCAGACTCTTTGTGCAAGTGGCAAATTATAATCGTGTGCCAATTTGGCAAGCAAATAAGCCGAGTTCCGTGCCTATCAATTGAGTTCCTTTTGGGATTCCTATACCCCCGGAATATATCTCAATTAAAGTGACCTTTTGCTGATTGACCCAAAACAGAAGTTATGTGCAAGGCAGGCGCAAATTTGGTTTATTGTTACGATTATTATGGGATTTTGCCGTGTCAGGGCTTCTTTTTCCCAAAGTTTATTCTGGTTAATTTACACGAGTGTCACAAATAATAACGTTTTAAAGAAAACGTTCTATAATTGGGCGAGTAGGTATCATATAGTTTTTCTTGTTGGGAATGCAAACTGTTTTTATTTGTTATAAAGTTATATACACATTACGGTAAAAAAAATATTTTTTTCTCATCCCTTCACGTGGTAGATTTAAATGTTCGATAAAACAACCAAAACCAAGCATTTTTTTTGAGTTAGGACTTAAAGATCCCTTGAAAGATACCTTAGTTATTAATAAAATAGAATCACATGAACTTAAATAAGCAAATTCCTGAATTTAAAATTCTTTCTAAAATATTGTTTCCTTGCTTTTCAATGGCTATATGAATACAGTAACAGAAAAATTGTAAGTTTGCCTAAAGTTTTTAAACAAAAATGCAAAAAAAATATTTTCAAAAGTTGTTTTGTATAAATATATGCGCATATCCGCCAAATGGTCAACCAGGACCGAAACAAAATAATCTTCATAATCATCGTATTTTTTGCCAATTTTCATAAATAAACAGCCCTGTTTTCATAATAGTGTGGAATTATAGCTTATTTCGTTTGTTTTGTTGAAGAAATTTCTCTGAAAACTGAAAAAAATTTCCTTTTTTTCATTTTTAGCTACTTTCAAAGGCGTTTTTTTGTTTAATTATTTCGCCAGGAAAACATATGCTTGCACTTTTTCTACCAAATCTCTTTATTGCAATCTAATAAGCAGATAAAAATCCAAAGAGGGTGAAAAAATGTTCAATTAACTGTTAATAAAACAACATGGAAAAATCGTACGTTCGCGACCGGAACTTTAATCAATGAAAAAAAAAACAAATGGAGACATTTATTTGGGAACAGACTCGATAGAAAGCTAAATTAATCCATTTTAAAAGTAAAGTTATTGCTTTAGAATATTCCGTCCCAATTCGCAGATTTTTGCATTTTACTAGCTTAAGCCCAAGTCGCCTTCCATTTTGCGTACGTTCGCGAACGCATGTTTTTTGTCAATATTATGAAAATGATAGCTAAATAAAGCCCATAATTTACACTAAGTAAAGAGCATACAAAATGCTATCGAATAGCAAAAAAAAATTCAGAAAACGGTTATTTTCTTTTTTTATTCGTGAGCCCTGGAAATGCCTATATATAAAAGTATATAAAAGCTCAAATGCAAACTTCTCAACATTTTCTATGAGTTTTGTTTAAAAAAACTTATGGCATCAAAAAAATTTAGTTTTCAAGGCGTGGAAAAAAGTTTTAAAAGTAGATTTTCACAAAAATTTGACATTTTCAGTAAGTACTGAATGGGTTAAGAAAAGTCTTATATCATTCAAAAGGAATTTAAATGGGCTTTCCATTGATGCCAAAATTATGTACATGAAGTAAGTTTAAGGTATGAGTATATTTTTTAAGCGGTAGGAGGATTCAGTTCGAAATATATTAATGTTATTTATGCATTGTAGAATTATTTTCTTTTTAACAACTTTTTACTTTATTTAAAAACGTGTTATTCCTTACCTGGTTTTTAGTATTGAGTTTTGTAGTAATATATTATGAAGCTTTTTTGACGGGAAATTTTCGCTTAGTAAATTTTCTCTCTTTTCGTATTTGGCTCTTAAATAATGGTTAAGCGTAGCAGGGAAATTTATGTTCCCTTAAGAGTTCACTTACATTTAATATTCATGAAATGGTATTTTGACCGCTTTATAAAGTTGGCATGTTTAATTTCTTATTTATTAAACAACAAAGTGACGTGACGATAGCACCTGCAACTGCACTCAACATAAAATTAACCATTAAGTGAAAGAAATCCTTGGCTTAAATTTGAGGGAAAGATACTTTATAATATTTAGGGTAATTCTACTAAATTTTAAGTTAATGATACTACATTTTACGGTACTTATACTTGATTATCTTAGTAATAGTGTACACGGGTCTTTCTTTTACAAACCGAACACCCTTTCTTGGGTCAAATTTTTGATTTGCCTGAACCGGATTTGGCCAAAAACAAATGATTTTTAGTTAGAATTTGTATAAGTTGGCAAAAACGCCAAATTTTAAAACGATTCTCTGTTTGAGAATCTATATCTCCAGCTCTAGCTATCTGATTGACTTTATTGTACCCGTTACTCGTAGAGTAAAAGGGTATAATCGATTCGTCGGAAAGTAGAAGGAAGCATTTCCGACCCCAAAAAGTATATATATTCTTGATCAGGACTAATAGCCGAGTCGATCTAGTCAGGTTCGTATGTCCGTCTGTCCGTATTAGCGCTGAGATCTCGGAAAATTTAAGAGCTATAGTATTGGGACTTGGAATTCAAATTTGTGGGCTTCCTGCGCAGCGCAAATTTGTTTTGTATCGCCCCCAAACGACTTTAAAACTAAACCCGTCTAGCGCCCACATTTTTTAACATTTTGCAATTCAATCGAGATAGCACACCACATGCAGCAAATATGCTTATTTCACTAATACGTCACCAAGCCGCTTGGGGCGCTGTGGCTAGTTGGTACTGTTGGCCAAGTGGCGCTATAGAAGAAGTAGATAGGTGTTGCTATGGGCTAGGTATGTTAGTGAAAAAAGCAGAGTAGCTTTAAGCATATCTTCTTTAAGCTGATTAACGGGTATCTAATAGTCAAAGCCATCGACTATAGCTTTTTTTTGATATTTTTGTTCTTGGATTTCAGTTTGAACTATTTATATTTTTAAGGCATGAAAATACAACAAAAATATATTTATGTAATGATTATTTAACTTCTTCTGAAATGTAAAGTCTTTGGAATTGCTACATATTTGTATCAGTGTAGATATTTGCAAGTTTTTGTTTTTGGCCACTTGATTTATTTAATATTGTTGTAAAAAGTTATTAAGAAAAATATACCACATATTATTTATCTATTTTTTATTATATATTATAATACTTATTTATTTTGCAGTTGCGAAAAAAAATAATACTTTTCCAGGGATCGAAAATTAGAGATGTTTGAGATGTTTTTATTTAAATAGCCATGTTAGGAATTTCTTTACGTACACAAAAGTAACGAGGAAGAACGTTATAGTCGAGTACCCCGACTATCAGATACCCGTTACTCAGCTAAAGGGACCAAAAGGAAATGGAGATATGCAAGCAGCAAAGCGAGATTAAAGATTTAAGATTTAAGCGTTAATCGATAGGTATTGACGAGACCAATACATTTCAGTTAAAGTTTTTTATCTAAACGGTTTGTGGGCGTTCAAGTGGGCGTGGCAAACTTTTTTTTGGGTCAATCGACAGGTATTGATGAGAAAATACATTTCAGTTAAAGTTTTTATTCTAGCATCAAAACTGTAGAAGCCACAGCTTTGGGCGGTTTGTGGGGGTTATAGTGGGCGTGGAACTCTGCTGAAACAAACTTGCGCTGTCTAAGAAGCTCAGGAATCTGGACGCCAAATCTCAATAGCCTAGCTCTTATAAATTCCGAGATCTCAGCGTTCATCCGGACAGACAGACGGACGGACAGACGGACATGGCTAGATCGACTCGCCTAGTGATCCTGGTCATACCTTTTTACCTTATGGAATCGGAAACGCTTCCTTCTGCCTGTTACATACTTTCCGACGAATCTAGTATACCCTTCTACTCTACGAGTAACGGGTATACAAGAAGTGTAGGGTAAGGTGACGAACTCGTCGTGTGACGTCACGACAAAAATTCTAGTAGATTTCTCTTATCGTGCAGACAATGTATTAACATTAATATTAATAAGAATTGTTTTAGATATGCCGTCAGTAAAAAAAAATGACCTCGACCAAGTGTTTCGAGCAAAAACTACTTGATAGGTCGACAAATGAATCTGAGTATCCACCAACAACCTTTTGTTTTCGTATCGCTTTCACAAGGCGTCCCAGGCGGGAACAAAGTTTTTATCACACAGGAGGAACTGTTTTACGATAGTACTAGCTTCCCCTCTGGTTTTATTTCTTAAGTGGTATACATTTTAATTCTTAATTGGTATACAATTTGAGCGGACTTCAGCTTAGGATGATTGCTATAAGCAGCAGTAAACATGTCCTTAAAGGCGGGGCAGTCTACCACCGCTAAAAGGTTCGGTGTCAGGGAGGGATTTTAATATGGCATGAACTTATCGAGATGTTGGCGAAAGCCGATTGCATTCAATATAGCCTATCCTACATTTTCAGCTCGTAAATCTTTTGCGAGAGTTTTTGCTCTATAAAATCCGTCTTCCATCAAGCTCCGAAAATCTTGACCTGCTTTCGCAAAAAAAATGTCTAAACGCTGCATTCTCTTTCTCCAGCGCCTACGACCTCGGACAATGACGAGTCGTGTTTTCCTGGCTCTTGGGCCTCCTCAAAGAGATGTCACTTCGCGAAGCCGTGCAGATTCTTGGTGCGCAGCCATGACGTTACCGACCAGTAAATCGTGGCGATACCAGGTGGTTACAATTTAGCACCCACTCACTCAACGCCCACGGCATACTGCGAATCGGAGCTGGACTGCACGTCACGAGGAGATGATGGCAAAGCACACGATAAGGAATTCTTAAACTATTATCTAGCATAAATAAAAACAATCGTTGAACATTCCATGTATATTTTTTTCTTAGTGCACCAGCAGATTCGTCTTTTCAAAATCGTCAACAACACAAACCCAGCTTCTTGACAGTAAGACCATGCTACGTGCATTGCGGGAAAGCTTTGAAAACTACGGTCACACAACGATTTTTGAACTAGTGAAATTCAGAGACGATCTGAGTACTAGATCTTAAACAGCTGTTTTGTTTATTATTATATAAATTACCATTACCAACGGTTCTTTCCTAGCTTCGCGAAGTCGTTTAGAGTGGATAAAGGTACTTTCAAAATGATTTTGCAATTGGCTGCAACAATGCAATTCCTAGCTACTGGCTGCTACCAGTTGTCAGTTGCCAAGGACCACCACATTAACATTGGACGCATTTTTTTTTAATTCTCCATTTATTTTTTCCCTTAATGGACAGGTTTTTATGTCAAGATGAAATTTCCATACATATGACCGACCGTCAAATGCAGACATCTCGAGAACACTTGTGTGGATGAAACTCACATCAAAATTCAGAAGCCAATACAAAATTACTCAGTATTCTGTATTAGAAAAGGATATTACATCTTAAACGCCAAGGTGGTAAGTTAAATATGTAATCCGTTATGTCTATGTAAAACAATTAAATTTTTTAGGTTTGCAATTATAACATGGAGATAATCGCCATTGTTTCCACCCATCCTCGGTCCTGCCATGACTCTTTTATCTGAAACCACTCCAGTGCAAGATAAGATTTGTCTAAGACCTTAAACGGACATCTTGTTCTAGCTGACTCTGGTACGCTGCAAAGAGCTTCGTATTGACTCCACACAGGAACTCACAGAATGGGACGCATCAGCATCAATTTAATTTAAAGAATTTTATCGAGTGCACTATTAATGTCCTTTAAAGTCGTTTTCGTTGCCAAGAAGATTGAATTATGAGCCCATGTTTTGTTGCCACATTGTTAATGTCTGCTGTGCACTGCAAAACATTTGTAAAAGCGATTTGGCAAGTCGAGGCACTCACTTTGACTACATTGAAGAGGCCGCAGTTGAATCAGAATGGATGATAGCATTAGTGGATTATCCGTACGCGGTGAAAATGCTCCAGCTCCTCTTATATAATAAATAAATCGATCATAACTCTAAATATTTTTCAAATTTGCTCAACACTTGTGCACATTTTTCTATAAAGACCTGTTTTAATTCAGTGTCTTGCTATTTTTGTTCAGTGTGTTCCTTTTGCAAAGTGTCCGATTTCATGCTCGGTCATTGTTGTCAGCTTGGACATCATGTTCAACTGAGCTGACACAGTCAGTTAAGGTCAGCGCAACTGGAGTTAAGCGGCAGCGCTTCGACATTGTCTCCTCGCCGGTATCCACATGTGGATGTTCTTCACCATCACCGGCATTTACGACTGTTAAGGTAAAACAAATTATTTTATTCTCTTTTAAACATTTAGGTTTAAATAATTGCTTCAATAGACATGGAACGACAGCATAAGCTATCATGTCTTTCCGATGGGGAGACCGAGAAGTTGCTGAATTCAATTGGTTTTATAATTGATACGGACGGAGAAAATGAATTGGATAACGACTTGACTGTTGATGCTTTTGAGGCAGCGTTTCCTGTCGATGAGGAAGATGAAAAAGGGATTGAAAAAGCTATAAATATGTTGTATTCCGTGCTGGTATGTGCAACTTCAAGCGGATCTCCTGATCGGTTGGGGAACCTGTTGTCACCCTCAACTTCGATTGCATCGAATTTGCCTCAATACAAAAACGCAAGCGCAAAGCGCCTGCTGAGTATGATATTGGTCATGCTGAAGAAAGCGCAACCGCCGAACTTGTAGGATATGTATGGGCCGCTTTTCAAAAAGATGTTGTAGCGCAAAAAGAACTTACTCATTAATAAATTTACGATTTTCTTCACTGAGCTTGACCTCTGAGTTTTTAAAATTATAATATCATTGATCATATTACTTTGTTAACCAACCACATTTCAGTGTTTTAATACCCTTGCAGAGGGTATTATGATTTCAGTCAGAAGTTTGCAACGAAGTGAAGGACCCCATAAAGAATATTTATTCTTGATCAGCATCACTAGACGAGTCGATCTAGCCATGTCCGTCTGTCCGTCCGTTTTTACGCAAACTAGTCTCTCAGTTTTAAAGCTATCGGGCTGAAACTTTCCCAAAAGTCTTATATCTTTTGCAGGTAGTATATAAGTCGGAACCAGCCGGATCGGACAACCATATCTTATAGCTATAGCTAATCGGAAAAAAAAATTTTTTAATTAGTTCTGAGTTTCGAATTTAATTTTATCAAAATCTGACGAATATATCATATAGCTACCATAGGAACGATCGGAAAATTTGTGGGATATAGAATATTTTAGCTTTCTAGAATTACGAATTTATTTTACACAAAAATCTGACGACTATAATATTTTGCTGAATAGGGTGGTGTCAGGACACGAATAACATGCACTCAAAAAAAAAATCACCATAAATATTAGAAAATCGCCCGTGATTTCAAAACGCCATTGAATTAAGAAATATCTTCTTGATAGAAAAATGCCTACAATTTAAGGAATTCGCCATAATTTTTTTATTTTTGTAATGAAGAAGAGGAAGAATCGCACTTTTTCTTTAACTAATGGCGAATTTTTCTTGATTTTTTTTTCTTGAAATAATGGTAAATTCTTACTTAAATTTAGGAAAGAAATACCCATATTTTAAGAGAAATGGCAAACCATAAATTCAAGAAAATTATTTATTTAAAATAAAGGTGAGTCGCCGTTGGATGAAAATCATAGGCGATTTTCTTGATTTAAAGGCGAATTTCTTGATTTAAGGGCGATTTTTTTTTTGGGGTGTGGAACCGGCGTACTGGTGTTCAAACTTTAAGGTAGGCTACCTAGGTATACCAGGTTTTCCTATTTTAGATTACCGAAATAACCATGTTACTAGCATTTATTATCTCGTATAACTGCAAGGGTATACAAACTTCGCCTTGCCGAAGTTAACTTCCTTTCTTGTTATTCGGTATGTTTTACGACCATGTTTTTTGCACTTCGCGTTTCGGGATTATTTTGAGAAGGAAAAAGGAAATTATTAGAATATTGTTGTTGGTGCGTTTTTGGACCAAGAATCCTTTCAGCGGCTCGGATCTCAGCAATGGAACTCAACTTAAAAATTAATATTGCTACACCCAAAAAAAAAATCGCCCTTAAATCAAGAAATTCGCCTTTAAATCAAGAAAATCGCCTATGATTTTCATCCAACGGCGACTCACCTTTATTTTAAATAAATAATTTTCTTGAATTTATGGTTTGCCATTTCTGGAAATAATGACAAATTTTTCTTAAATGTATGGTAAAAAACCTTAAAATTAAGGAAAAATTTATTTAAATAAGAAAAAAATATTTATGATGTAAGATTACATCATTTTACACCTTACATTTGAGGAATTTGGTTGGTTTTGTATACCAATGTTGAATTTTAAATGGATAAAACCGTTTCTAATTTTAATGGCAATTATTACTACAGTCTGAAAATTTTTATATTTACCTGAATTTATTAAAGATTTATTTTATATAAATACTTTTATAAACATATAAATAAATATAACAAATGGAAAATCCTTACCTCAGACAACCCCGGCGTGAACTCGAACCCGCAACTGCTCACACCATAGCCAGACGTCTTAACCATTCGGCCACGCGTGCTTCTTGTCATACAATGACTAAAGAGGGCTAAGGTGCTTTTGGTCCAGCTTTACGCATACAAATAACGTTTATTCTAATCTAAACCTTTTTAACAACCGTTTAAACAATTTGGTAAATAGAAAAGTGAAACTAATAAGAATAAAATTACATAAATTAAAAAAAAAAAGAAAAATAAATAAACAAAGGGTACACTTGCCGTGGCGTGGGCTCGAACCAGGTACTTTTGTTCGATTGTTTATTGACCGGACGTCTTTACCAGCTAGACCACCATCAAAATGTATAAAAAAAAGTCACTTTCTCTTAAAATATGGGTATTTCTTTCCTAAATTTAAGTAAGAATTTACCATTATTTCAAGAAAAAAAATCAAGAAAAATTCGCCATTAATTGAAGAAAAAGTGGGATTCTTCCTCTTCTTCATTACAAAAAAAAAAAAAAAAATTATGGCGAATTCCTTAAATTGTAGGCATTTTTTCTATAATCAAGAAAATATTTCTTAATTCAATGGCGTTTTGAAATCACGGGCGATTTTCTAATATTTATGGTGATTTTTTTTTGAGTGTACGCATTTTTTAAGGAACTGACCAACCTCCAGCGTATGTCCTTCTTGGCAGGACCATGCTTGATCAATTTGCTAATAACAATGAAATAAACATTTGGATCTGAAAACATTCCACATGCTGGTACTCGAATTGTATTTAGTTTCGCATATTTTTCAGAGCAACTGAAATTGCACGTCCCCCCCTTCGGATGCGGTTTGCCAACGAGCGCCGACGAGAGCGGGGACCAACAGCTGGCTGTATCGACTCGTGATTTTGATCAAGAATATATGATATTATACATATGTGTACATTCGCGAGGAAGATACAATAAAACAAATAGAGACGGGACATAAATGAAAATAAAAGAAGCATCTAAGAATGAAGCAAATGAGTTAAAATATTAGTTTTTAATACCGGGATAGAAGTTGAAGTGCAAATTAAATGATAAAGGTTGTTATAATTATTACATAGAACGCGAAAAGGCTCGTGCAGACAAAAATTAGATGTACATCGTGGCAAATTTAGGGGATAATAATTTCGTGTTAGTCTAACAGGAACATTGAAAGTTAGGCGGTTTACAAGTTATACAGAATCAATATCACCTCTTATAAGATTTTGCATAAAAATAGTACCAAGCATTGTTCTACGATTTGCAAGGGTAGGTAAATTAAGCAATAGTAATCTACTCTGATAGGAAGGTAGCCTTATGTTTTGATCCCAGTTCAAACTACGAAGGGCAAAAAGAAGAAATTATTTTTGTACCGACTCAATACGGTCAATATGCACTTGATATTGTGGACTCCAAACCGAAGAACAATATTCCGAAATAGGACGGACAAGGGAGGTAAATAATAATTTGGTTGTATAAGGGTCATCAAATTCTTTTGACGAACGCTTTATAAACCCAAGAACACTCATGGCCTTGCTGACAGTGGACATTTTGTGGCAGTCAAATTTAAGTTTTGGGTCCAGAAGAACGCCTAAGTCATTAACTGAATATATACGGTCGAGTGGCGTATTTTGAAGAGAGTAACTAACAAAAGTAGGAGTACCCCTATGAAAGGTCATAACCGGGGCGCTATGAAAGAGTGTTCACAGTTTCCTAAGACTTGATGGAGACGACAGTCTAATCCATGGTCCGGTAACGGCCGTTTGCTCCATCCTTTTCTCTTAATATCTTAGTCTACTAAATAAGTGTTTACTTATTAAAATACAACTATTCTGATCTGCACAGATCGCATGCTTACCTTATTCTGCCCAACACGTACAAATGTCGTTCATTTTATACTGAACAAGGAAGAACGCTATAGTCGAGTACCTCGACTATCAGATACCCGTTACTCAGCTAAATAGAGATATGCAAGTAGCAAAGCGAGATTAAAATGCGCCACCTACCGGCGGTATACAGATTTAAGCGTTATGGGCGTTAGAGTGGGCGTGGCAAATTTTTTTTGGACCAATCGATAGGTATTGACGAGACCAATACATTTCAGTTAAAATGTCTTACAATTATCTTAAAATTATCTAGCATAAAAATTGTGGGCGTCACAGTTTTTCGCGGTTTGTGGGCGTTAGAGAGGGCGTGGCATATTCGCGTGACAAACTTGCGCTGCGTATAAGGCTACGGAATCGAAATCTGAAATCCCAATTCTCTGTCTTTGATAGTTTCCGAGATATCCACGTTCATATTTACGATTTTTTGAAGTTTGTGGGCGGTTTA